AAAAAAAACTCGAATTCGTAACGTGAACAAAAATCACTTACTTACCGAGAGATGTATATTTTACTTTTGGCTAGATGTTTCTCCGCAATATTTTCTTCTTGAAATTTGATACGCCAAGATAAATTTATTTATTGTAACTGTGCGACACTCTGTTGTATTTAACTGACTAGCGGTCGGTGATGGGCATAAACGGTATTTGACAGATTTGGATACATGTGCAAACAATATCTCTATATGATAAATTCAGTTAACGCGGTCAGTCAAAACATTTTATATTTTAATAATTTGGAATTGTGTGAAATATCCACAAAATCTTATACTTTAAATATTTAATATCAGTTTTGTAAGAATAGCGTATAATTAATATAAATCTTTACTTCCATTAATATGATAATTAATCTCGATCGACGTTTTTACACGTAACTTGCGTAAATTCACAGACAACAATATTAGTTTTAGATCAATTCTCTAGATCAGTTTTCGTTTACATATGTTTTTCATTCTCATTTCTTTCGTTTCGCACGTGTAAGCGGACCTTGTAATCTCGTTAAAAACATTTAGATTTCACTTAACAATACCGCATTCGTGCGCATGTATCCGAAGCCCAGCACTACAAGTAGCTTAAGTATTGTTCAAACTTGCATCGAGTGCGCTTGCAATTTATTGCACAAATACGCTGCACTTAATTTATCGAGAATTCATCCGGAGCAAGACTCGAACCTTTGTGCATGAGGACACAAGTGCGCCGTGAATGCGATTCAATTCCATTATATCACCACGATATTTTTCGCAACTTCTTGTGATCGCTCGCGATTGTTCCGATTATCGATCGAATAGCGAAGTTTATGCAGAGACTGTTTTCCATTCCGTTATATTTCTTAGTTTTCTCGCACATTTATGTTTTTCCTAAGTTGTAACGTGATCGTTAAACATGAGACTGCAAATGTGATATTTGCGAAGATAAATAGTATTATATAATTGCCGTCCACTTTTCTGCGTAGAATGATTTTAATTTTTAGCTCAGCTGTTTTTAACATTTAATTTTTATTTTCCGAAATATTTTTTATGCGTTCAGTCAGCCTCATCGAGAGAAAAAAGAAATAGTTGCAGCAACTGTGTGCACGGTCAATTCCCGACATTGGCAGTATTTTTATAGTCGCTCTAACGATAGACGCTACATCATCATGAAGTTATCTCGATAACTTTACAGTAACAAATTATTATAAACACAGTTCTGTCCTGAACGTAATACTTTCGCTATGCAATTGTAGTTCCTAATATATACCAGACGTTTTTCTCTCAGTGATTAAGAAATAATCGTTTCTTAACGCACGGCATAAATTAGAAAATTTCATATTTTGTATGAATTAATAAAATTTTAAATTAACAAGAAATTACACACAAAATAATATAGAATATACAAAAAATTTCGATTCGAGCATGTTTTTATCTTTGCAAAAAGATATCGATTAAACACTCAGTGTAATAACGTAACTTAATTTTTTCAACAGTTGACGTTTTCGTTTATTATTCAAAAACTTTTTAGATAAATTATCGAAAAAAATGCACAAAGGACTGAATTAAAAAAAAAAAAAAAAAAAAAAAAAAAAATCAGCTTGCGAAGGATTTGCGCAGCACTGTCGAACTCTATAGCACGTAGAAAAACCTATACACACACATATATTCAACGTGCATTGATTTCTGCTAGCGACAGGTGCATCGAGTAGCCATAGATCTGTAATCGAGTGTGCTTTTCTCCTTATCCTTCTCCACTCCCACCCATCTCCCATTTTTGCGGCGCATAGATAGACAAACACATACATGCGAGTCTCATTATTTAATTGCAAAATATCGATGAACAAGTCGAAGACGTCGTTGTCGTCGTCCTCGATCTCGACACGGATCTCTTGCAATATTTCCCGCAAAAAAAACAACACAAACATTTATGCGTAATTCTATATTATAATAGCGATGTTCCTAAATGTTTACTTTCGCGTTTCTATGACGTTCCGATCACAAAAGAAAAAAAGAAACTATCGCGGACTTTCTCGGCCACTAAAAATAAAAAAACAAAAAAAAGCGAATTCCTATACTGTTACTGCAAATAATATATACCGCGAGTATGAAAAAAAGAGAAACTCTCCGTCTGGCTTAGCGCAATGTCCCGTCGTAGTGATTCATTCTGTACCCGAAATTTTGTCAAACGATACATTTGAATAAAGTAATTCACATTTGTACGGAATATGCATTCTCTGTTATTTTTACAAACAAAATTGGTAAACAAAATGATCAGGTACCTCTAGATCATTCACACTACCGATTTATATCTACACAGTTTTTAAACATACATATCACGGAAAAAAATGACAAGCTTTATTCATCTACTAAAAAGACAAATGCAGCCACACATTACAAATGATGATGTCCGAAGAAAAGCCAACGTTACTAAGGTAATTTCTAGCTGGACTTTCACGTACAGTTTGAGGGATTCGAGGGAAAGAGAGAGAGAGAGAGAGAGAAAAAGATTCCGCGGGCACATCGCTTCAAGATAACCGTGTGTAATAATTGTCCGGCGATCTCGGGCGCGAGAAAAGCGGAGAAGATGGTCGGGAGAAAGAGAGAAAAGAATTAAAAAAAAAAAAGAAAAAAAGAGGAGGCAGAAAAGGGGAGGAGGGTGATCGTGATCGCTGGACAGCTCGCGACGGACGGACGGAGAGGAAGGAACTAATCTAGATTGGTCGGCTGGTGTGTTGCAGCCGCCGCGGTCGTCTGCACGGAGGGAACGACGAGACCACCGCCGTCGGCAACGTTAACGATATCGAGTGCTTCTGCTGCGGAGCCGATCTGCACGTGGGACTCGCCGCGGCCGTGTCCGCGCTGCAACCGTGTCTACAGCAACAACAGCAATCTACGCAGACACCTAAGATCGGCCCACGCGACCGCACCTGAGCTCCTCCAGCTGACGTCGCTGCAGCGGCGAGAAGGTGTCGTGGTCCCGCAGTCGCTCGCGATCCTCCCCGCCTCCTCTTTTTCCGCTGGTGGACCATAGCGATCGTCGATTCGCCGACCGATCGGAATGCTCCGGTTGACGCTCTTAGGACGTGATCTCGATCCGACCAATCAGCCGCCGAAGATGGATCGTTAGCGCGATTGTCTCATCGACGCGATACAAACGGGCAATATAAACTGTCGCCTTTGAAATCTGATCAGACAGGGTTGTTATTGCACGTTGTTATTGAGCGTACGAAGATTTATCGGACAATGAAAATTGTCTGTATTTTAACTTCGGGAACATTTTGCAGTTTGTGAAAAATAACTCATTTATGAGAGTTTCAGTTTCTTTGTCAACAGACTGATCGATCAATAGTTTATCAATTGTTATAGTACAAGACGAAGAGATTTGTTGAGGAGCTCACACGCGCCCTTTATCAGTCTATCTTTGATGCTCGTGAAAATTTCACCAACTGGATCAGGTTTTTTTTTACCTACATCATTTTAGCGATATGTCAACAATTATTTTTTAAACGTTTTTGAACCTAAATCAAAAGTTGGAATCGAATTGGAAGATTAAATGTAGAACAAAGATTGACTGATATTTACACCGCGTGAGGATTCAACGAGAACGCACGTTCAAGAGATTGTTTCAATAGTGATAAAAGTTTGATCAAAGTGAGATTTGTGTTACAATCATTCTTGATTTTTATCTTAAGTGAAAATAAATTGTCACATTTTACCGAGAAATAAAAACACGTTTTCTGAAAAAAAATTTTAATATGTCTGGAAAAAAATTCCTCAATTGGGTTTTTTTTTTTTTTTCATTAAAAAGAATATAATTTTTGGAACACGTAGAGATATTATTTTGTTATATATTTTTATCCTATTCTATTATTATAATATACTATATAAGAAAACTATTTTATAATATAGCTTTTCTCTATTATTATAATATACTATATAAGAAAACTATACTTTTATATGTATAGTTTCTCATAAAATAAATACAACATATTAATTATTAAATTTTCTCTAAATCTCGCAAAGCCGCTTTTCTCATCGAGGTTCATGCGTGTACAAAGTGACGCAATTAAATTACGTTTTTTGACGATTGATGATTACAGCGCGGAGAGTACGTCGCGGTAGACCGCGACTCGGAACCAGAGGTGGCAAATACCCATCGCCGTCTATTCACAAGAACTCGCCCTCCAGCAGAAGCGACTGGCTACCCCTGGACATGAGAACGACTCCGCCGACCACGATGCCTCCTTATCGTGGATTTGAGGAGTCTTCGTCGGACGGTGTGGTCAGTATTTCACATAATTGCGACTTTATTTCTTGTGTTACAAAGTATATTGGATTTTATTTTCCGTAAATATCAGTATAATATGTGTTCTGTACTTGCTTAAATATAAGTAGATATAATACGATCCTCTTCTTTTCATAATTCTCTTAGGTCCACTTGGGTGAGGGCATAGCGGTCTGCGAAGAACAATTAAGGGCCGTTAAGTGGAGCGACTATCGCAAGTTAACGCGCGGCTTGGCCGCGATACTGTTCAGCCCGACGGAATTAGCGACGTGCTCTGTCACCGGTCAACGTTGGAGCCGCGCCGGAACAGCCACCGAACGTCCCGTGAAACCTGCTCTCGACAAGGCTAAAGTTCAGGCCATTATATGTACGTATACACGTCCAAGATAATAATCTTTTTGCTATAGAATTGTTTTCTGTTACATCGAAGACTAAAGTTAGTTCATTTTTCGCTGTTACAGCTTACGTCACATCGAGGTTTCCGTCGGTAGACGTCAGCAGCGTGAAGCAAGTCTTAGCGTATAAGTGCAAAGAAAACTCTACCGCCCTCAAGATGAAGTCTATACGATACATATGGTGAGTTTTTTTTCCGGCGATTTTGTGTACTGCGGTGTCTCTGGAAAAAAAAATAGAAACTTCTCTCTTTCGTGCGCGTTGTCGTTTTAGAAGAGAAAGGCCTACTTTTTCTTCGGAGGACGTTAATCTTCATAGACTGTTAATAGTAACTGTAAAATTATCGACTATAAGAATTGTAATGATTTTACTGCGAGAATATTATAATTAAAAAAATTTTAATTTATAATTAAAAAAACTTTAAATTTTTAAAGTAAATTGTTGTACAAGAGTAGGCAATACTGAGGAATTAAAATATAAATAATATAATCAAAAATATTGTTAAAAAATATTGCAACAAAATGACTCTGAAACAGTCTATGAATTAATGCGTCGCAGTATGCTGCCAAAGGATAATAACATAATGGTTAAAAATCTTGGGATTCTCTTCCCGGTTTTAATCGCAGCGACAAGCAGGACACGGACACGTCACCCCGAGGCGAGTCCGAGGACAAGTGAGAGGGGGCACAGGGTGCGTGTAGAGTGCAGTCCGCTCCGCAGTTTTGTCGCGTCCTCCCGCACCCTCTGCCCGATACGGTTCACTCACCGCAGCGCTCCCAGAGTCGACAAGATCATCGCGACCATCGTAATCACGATAACAACAACACTATTAACTGCATTGATGAGCGGCACGAGGAGATACACAGAGGCGATTCGTCATCGTCTACCGCCGCCGCGCCATCCGCGCAGGCAGGTGTCGTAAAGCTGATACCTCTCTACGCGCTTCACGGCGCGTTTCATTCTACTCTGCGAGCGGCGACGGCCTCGTTTATTTAATTATACACGTTTCACAGCCAGTGTCGCATCGATCGAAAGTATCTAATTTTAAAACGGGTAAGATAGAAATACCGTGAGGTGAAGTCGGACAAAGAAAAGGCTAATCACAGCGCGTTTAGACAACATTTGACAATCTGGTTTTTAGTTTCTTTGTCTATATGTTTGTTTTCGGATGGTCGAACGTTTTCTAAGATATGTAAGAAAACTCAAGATTTGAGATAAGAGAGAAAAACGAAGCATCAACTTGTGGTTTCGTTTCATTTAATAAAACGTACAGCGAGAATGCAATGGAGAGTAGAGACGCATAATTTCCGAGATTAAAAGAAAACAAAACATGAAAAAGAATAGAAATTATTGCTCGGCGTGCGCAAAAGTGTACGCTGTAAAATTATATGAAAAATTTAAAGAAATTACATGTCTAGAGAGTGCGCGTATCATTTTTTGAAAGCTGTTGATTGCTTTTGCGTAGCGATTCACATTACTCATATATATATATATATATATAATAAAACTCGCGACTAATAGTCGAAGACCCCCTTGTCATGCTTCGAGAGAGAAAAAGAAAGAGAGAGAGAATAAGATGGCAAGTGTCATTAACATCGGACTATTTATAGGACATAATGACAGGTCTATATTACGTTTATAAAAATACGAGGCAGCGAAATAACGACGAGGGTGATTATTATACATAGTTGAGTTCTTGCTTAGACATGTCGTCTTTTTGTGCACGCGCTTTTTCTTCTACCTTGACGGAAAAAACGCATTTTTTTTGTTGACGTGCAATAACGATCCTTCGAACGAAAAGAGTCACAAAATGCGTGCGGCACGAAGGGACGATTTCATGCGAGACTTATATATATGCGTTTAGGAGGATTTATTTGGTTTTGGCTGTGAGCTACGACCACATGCGAAGCGGGAGATCCGTGTGGCTCTAATAAAAGAGAACGTACCCTTTCGAAGAAAGGGCGGGTGATAAATAGTGAGATGGCAATATTATAAAGAAAAATAAAAAAAACGAAAAAGAAATTAAAAAAAGATTGGATAAATCGGTCCGATCCTACCGGGATACAAGGGTAGACTTTCACATAGAGTATGCCTAATATATTGCATATAAATATATAGTATATATATATAAATAAAAAATTAATATATAAATATATATATTATAAATATATAGTAATATATTACTATATTGAATATATTATTATATAACGAAAATAGATGAAACATATATATATATTATTTGTTGGGAGAGCATATTACATATATATATATATATTACACATATTTAATATATATTTAGGATATTTATTTGTTAATTTGGTGATATATAAATATATAATATAATATATATATATGATTTTTATAACAAAAAGAGAGTTCGCTCGCGCACGGCACGAAGAGGCCGGCCTACAAATCTAATTCGAGAAAAGGAGAGACAAAAAATAAATAGAATTATACAGCAAAGGATGGAGTGTATGCAGATTTTAACAAAAAAAAATATGTATAACGCAAAAACGTTCTCAAAGTGTTCTCGTACGCGGCTGCATCTTTTGTCGATCTGGATCGCAGTTCGACAAGTGCAAACACGCAAAACTGTCTTCTAAGATACGAAAATTTTATTGATTTTATTTTTGGTTTTATCGGAAAGAGAGTTTGTTCATCTGCAATTTATTTACTTATTTATCGAAGTAGACTGATTAAGCCCGACTTCAGATCGCTCGCTTTTGTCGTCACAACGAAAATAGAGAATTTTCACAGCCGTGTTAACAAGCAACAGTGATTTATCGAGTTCAAATTACGATATTTTAAAATAAGTGAACTCTTTTTGTCTATGAATAAACTAGTTATTTAGTTAAAGAGTGAAAACTGAAAAAATAAAATACAAAAAAATATTGTTGATGCGTCATATGGTTCGCTTAAGAATATTTCAATAAAACAGCATTTTTGTTTTGCTGGCCTAATTAACGGTAGCTCGAGAAGTTCGAATCGATACAATAATTTTGTATTATTCTCTACGTGTAGTAATGAAATTATATTTATGTACTCTTTTCTGACGTGATATAACATTTCAAGGAAGAAAAGCAAGAAAACGCTGAATCGGACTTAATTGGGATACTCGTTACAATATGTTGCAGAAGCGCGCTCGAAGTGATGACGCGTGTGTACATATACATATATTCGTGCATGCACACCGCGTTAAGTACATACACCCGTACTCTTACATGTATATAGTAAATACATACACACTCGGTCAAGCGACAAGCTCTCGTGTTTATGAATTTGCGCTATAGATAATATAGACGCTTTCGACAGATAACACTTGATTTTTTAATTATACGAATCTTACGTGCGCTTGAATCAGAAAAAAAAACTTGTAATATTCTTTGTTGTGAAAAATTGTTATAGAAAAATTATTTAAACATGTACATCGCGTTACTGTTACAGTACATTTTTATACTATACATGTTTGTGCGCAATTGTTTAAAGGAGAATATTGTAATCAAAAATATGACAAAATACTATTGGTACGGGAAACAATTCTATATTCTTTACGTACATGATATTGTTATCGAATTCGATGTTATCGCTACAGTAAATGTTGCCTGTAGTTGAATTCGTTTTGATTTTTTGTTAATTTTTAACTATGTATTTCTCTATTTGTATATATTTGTCGCGAAATTCTTTTGCCAATTTCTGCGATCAGCCGAATCGCAATTCTGTATCTTCTTACACACATACACATACACAGACACACACACACACACGACATAGAGATGCATATTAGAGCGTTTTAACTTTTCTCGTTCACATAGTCACTCTGTTCTATAAAGAAGCTTGTAAATAAATCACACTCATACACACATACACGCGCACACACACATACACATACAAATGTTAGATTAAAGGAATAACAAGATAATTAAATTGTAAAGCACTGTTGTTACCAAGCGCCTACCAACTATATGACTTAGCATATTGCTCTGAACAGAGAATGGATCTCGTGTTGCGAAGATGAAACGAGCTGTCTCATACTTCGACGGCGACGCGAATTCGATCTCGGAGCGGAATAATATATAATAATAATAATAATAATAAAAACGACGAGATATCAGACATTGGGCAAACAGAAAAAATACCACTACGGAGTATTTTTAATAAAGTAATAATGTATACCGTGCCAACGAGGCGTACAAAATTTCCAGAGTCCACTTCTCTCTTCGGATCATTCGCGTGAGTAGCGTGTGCATAACTTTATCCGTGTGTGTAATGAGCATTATAAAAAAAGAAAAACAACTTAGTTTCCAACGAAGAATGTACTGCAAAAACGGAAAATCGTTGTGACATTTACACGTGTATAGATAGTGGAGTAGTTCAAAAAAAAAAAAAAAAAAAAAAAGAAAAAAAGAAACAAAAAAGAATATCGAACGCGGTGGAGTCGAGCGAGCGAGGGAGAGAATGAGAGTCGCGAAAATGTGTGTATATGTGTGAGAGAAAGAGAGAGAAAGAGAGAGAAGAGAAGACGAAGAAAGAGAGAAGGTTGACTGGACAAGTAACATACTCCATGCCTTATAATAATAGGTATTTTAAGCATAAATAGATCTATTTAAATTAGCGAATTAATTGTTAAGGATTAGAAGAGAAAGACACCGTATTGTTCTGACGTATCTGGCGATGGGAACTGAATCACTCTGAAAAACAAAAAAATTGAAAATTTAAAAACCGGAGCTCAGTGAGATTACTACTTTTTCAAGTGGCGTTTTTTCAATTCCCAGCGCCGCGCGTGTGTCTTTGTAGACAACAAGTGAACGCTAATTGAAATATTCAAGCGAACGAAAGTGCCACGATGATCGAAACAAATGATTTTTCTTACAGTTTATACGCGCCGTAATTGGAAAAGTTTATCTCGCAATCGTTTGATATATATATAAAATAGACACAATTTAAATTCGGCAATATTGAAACAAACAGAATAATAAATAAAATTATGTCGTTAATGTAAAAAAGTAACAATATCCGCTTATCGTTGCGCTTTCGTTTCTTTTAATTGTAGTGAGTAGTGAACGTCCCTAAACGTAGTAGGGAAAGTGATGCCGCTTAGTCGAACGATGCTGCGTGATTTTGGTGTAGTTTCTATCGCTTTACTACGGGGCGACAAAGAGGTAATTACAAAAAAAACGAGGAGTTACAGATACGCATTTGTAGCTTGTACGCGCGTTTTGAAACACAAAGTATTGCAATCCTGGCTTAGTTTGAGTGCTCATCAGTCATTTTCACTACAATCGCGCGCTAGAGTTTTTCTTTGGATCATTATAAACGTCGAACTTAACATGAGTGATATTAATATATTTCTACTTGCCGAGATAATGTCTTGTTCACAATTTTTACGCAATTAATAGTCTTTGAGTCATTTTTAATTAAATTTAAATTTTTTCTTTTTGTTACAATTTATTGTTGCAGCATGTAGATTATTTATACATGTAGATATTTCTAAATTACAAATTTCATCACAGTTGAATTGCCAATTTGACATAGAATATGAATAAAAACTGTGGTGGCTATTTTAATTTTTTTTTAATTAAAAAAATTTGTTTTCTCTATACACGAACAATTACAACTCATTGGGCAGTCAGTCCAAAGATATAATCGCAACTCTTAAGATTACCTTGTGTGTAATGTAATAAAAGAAACGCATCGAGCGCTTAAAATTCCCGTAGATAACGCGAATAGTCCCTAGAAGCTGTGAAAGTGATAGCGAGAAAAAAAATCGATCGTTTAATATATTTATTTAGATACGCAATTTCACAATAGACGATAAGTCATCTCGGCGATGGATGTTGTTTTTCTTTTTCAAACACCTTACAATTAACATTAACCTTAAATCATACAGATTTACTTAGAAAGTGTAAGAAAGACACTGGCGAACTCTCATTACATGATACTCTTGGATATTGTATTTATGTTGTTTTATTTCTGTACATGTATATAAACTGTGAATGTGTCAAAACATTGGTAAATTCTTCTTTAAATGAAAATTTTGATTTTGCAAGCGAAAAGACCAGGTCGGAATCTTCTTACACTTGTTTAGGATTAAAGCCTTCGTAGACAATGTCACGGCAGTGGCGAACAAGGTTTTTCCAAGGGAAGCTTCGAGAAACTGTGATAATTATAAATTGATATAGAATTGTGTTTTAAGAAATTCGGAAATTTGTCGAGAAATTTTGCCCAGATTTTTGAAGATACTCCCGAAGAAACTGTTCGCTAGAAAAAATAGCGTCACGTGGTAGTAATTGCATATCTATTTTGTTTACTGACATTGTGATATGACGAGAATTGCAAAATTTACAAAATGATGATTATAACTATTTATGTCATTTAGCGAAGCGTTATACGAGGTTTTCGATCTTTTGGAGAAAATTAACGACCGACATTTGTTCGTATATGTAATAGATTACGTGTGTAACGTTTGTTTTCGACGCTTCTGCTCTTAGTTAAATTAGCGGATTGCTTTTAGTTAAGTGGTGAAAGGTAAACACAGGTTTTACGCGCACTAAACTCTTTAGAATTTTCACGACAAAAATTGTCCCGCTATGCGGCGTTGTATAACGCAATAACAAATTTAATAATAATGCAGAAATGCTTTAGAAGAAATATTCACGCGGGTTCAGTGTTTTGAGAGCGATTATTTTTAAAATAACAATTATACGGAGCGACCGATCCACGTGACGCGAGGCTTTCCCTGAAAAAAAAAAGAAAAAAAAAATTAAAAACTGATGGCAATATCATGGAGGAAATTTCTCGAAGATCGATCGCGATCTTCGAGCAATTGTGATACGCTGTATAATAAATCGTCAGACGTTTTAATCCGTTTAACGCGGCTTATTGTTCTGATTTGTTGTGTCATTTCGAACTTCTGTGTTATTTTTAATAAATCCATGAATTATTTTGTTTCCACGCTTACCTTCATTTCCGTTCGATATTTTCAGTTTATTTCCTGAATATTTTCACTGTTTTTTCAGTTCTCTTAGCTTTCTTTAACTATTCACGATTGTTTTATGTGAGAAAAAAGTCAACGAATAAAGTGGCTGTTTTTTTTTTTGACACAGTATTAAAATAGATGTACAAAGAAAAAAGAAATACTCGTTCGCGTTATTCGTTCAATTAAAATAAT